CAAAATATTTGAATCAAATTAATTGAATTAAAATTATTAATAAATTTTGAAGATTTATAAAAACAGTAAATTTTGTCCCATTTACAGAAAACCTTAATCATTAAAATTTCTCTTTATTAACAAGAATTGCTTAGATTAATTATAACTGTTAACCACTTCCTTCTATACAGTAATAATTAACTTTGTTTGAATATCTACATTTAATATACCATCTAAAAACATTGTTGCTCAAAATGTTTTTTAATTAAATAAATCAGTTTTGTTATTTTGTAAATTTTGGAGAAACATGGTGTTATATAACATATGATGATTATTTAGTAATGTTAAAATCAATTTAATGTGACAAACTGAAATTTACTTTAATCCAGTATTTTAAAATTTTGAACAGTTATAGTATTTCATATTATTGTAAATATTATTAATGCTTAAAAAATCTTCTATAACAGCTTGCTTCAGTTAAGTAATATACCATTTTTTTAATTTCATAATTTAAAACACATACAATTTTAAAATACTGTGTGTTTAATTCAATATATTAATGATATTAAAAATTTAGGAATAATATAGTACATCAAATTATTTTGTGATCAGTAAGTTGAACAAAGCATTATAAAGTTATGTATTTTGAATTAATAACTTTAATAATAAAGCAAAGCAGTCTCAAGTCTTGGAGGTTATTTATACATTTGTGTCATTATTTTGAAATCTTAATTTTTCATTTCCTGTAGTTTGGAGGGTATTCTAGTTAAGGAAATAAAAAGAAGAAATTCCATCTGTTTATAAGATCATATTTCATAAGTGGCATTTGTTAATTAGTTCAGATGTTTTCTATTTATTTCATTTTTAATTTTAGTAATACAGTGAAAAATTGTTTAAAAATATTAAAAACTGAAAAAGTAATTATCACATATACAATTTATGAAAAAATAAATATTAGAAATTTAATTTTTTAATGTAAAAACAGTGGAATTTATTTTATTCTATATAATAGTCAGAAAATGACAATGCAAGTGTACTGAATCTCTTGTTTTTATTTTCTTAGAAGTTATTTAACATATAAATGAGTTTAAACAGTTTATTTGAAACAAGTAGTTAAACTTCCTAATAGTGAAAGATAATGCATTTGAAAGTTTATTTTTTTTTTAAGTTGATAGTATTTTTACTAATTCAGTATTGTTTTACAACTATATACATATGGCTTATAAAACACTATACTGTAAGAATTACATACAATTTGAAAACTGCTTATATTACTTTAATAATAGTATGGTATTTTTCAAAAAATACACAAGTATTTAAAAGCAACATGAATGCATATATACTATTAAAAATGATATTAGAAAAACAACAACTGTATATAGTCCTGGACTATGTAGCTACTAATGGAATTCTCAGCTGATTCATTTGGAAAAGTGTTTTGTGTTTTCTCATTTTGAAAACAATTTTCGTTATTTTAGTTTGTTTTATTAATCTGGCAGGATATAGTACCTATACTAAACTTGGCAAAAGTAAATAATAAAGAAGGATCAATTTCAAAAATTTTATATATTTATTCTCCAGATAGCTAGATTTATTTAGAGTATATTTAGGTGAAAAGAATCTTGCTTGGCACATCATCTGCTTGCTATTTAGATGTCTTGCTGGTTTTGATAATAGCAACAGTTTCTTATCAACACAAGAAGCACATAACTTATTGCTCTTTATCGACAAAGCATAGTAGCTGTCAACACTAACAAGATTCAATTAAAAGATGTTACAATGTGAAAATTATGATTTTATATATGGTACATATTTAGCAAAATGCAAGATACTCATTTTTAAAAATATTTTTTTAAATAAACATAATAATAACCAAAACATTAGTTTTAAATGATTTTGATTTAAATATTTGTTAATAAGACTAATGAGCTCTTTTTCACTGTCTGCTGAGTATTAGCTAAAGCATTTATCTAAAAAGAAAAATGGCAGGATGTTTATAACTTATACACATTGTCATTGTAAAATTTTTTATGGTTAATGATGATTCAGCCATTCAGATATATTTAAGTCTGTTATTGTGAAATTGAAATTTCTGATATTTTCATTTAACTTGTATGGAATATCTTGTTTAATTTTTTTAATTTATACATTCTTAAAGTAATGAATAATTTTCTGGTAGGTTGTAATACACAACCAATATGAATGATTATTTATAACAGACACAGGCAGATAAATGACTCAGAGTTAGCTTTACTGATGAGGGGCCATAAAATGTAAATTGCAGGATTACAGAATTCTCAGGAATTTTTTAATTAGATTATAGCTGGTGATCCCAACAAGAAAGGAAGGAACAGTTTTTGTTTTTAAGGTCAAGTTTTGATCAAAATACAGTGAAGTTGCAAGGGACAATGACAAATTTTGTTATTATTATTTAACATATTCATTTTTATATAAACAAAAACAATATATTAATATTTGGGCTTATCATACACCAGCAATCAAATATTTAAAACATTTATTACACTTTGATTATCATAAAAACACTACAATTTAAAAATTCTATAAATGATGCTGCTGAGATTTGAAAGGAGCAAAGGTTCATTCTTGATAAAGTGGCCAAGGTACTGTACATTGTTAAGCCTATGGGACAAATGTGCTAGGGTCCTAAGCAAGTTTTTTTGTGCTTTATAGTTTTATTATTGTAAATACTGAAGTCAATAAATGTACTGTACATTTTAGTTACTAAGACTATATTGTTTTTATCACCTTCTCCCAATTCAAGCTCACCAATCCCCACCCTCAAGTCTAAGCAATGCAATTAGTTTAATACTAATGTAATCAGTAGTTATATAACATTGAGAAACCAAGGCTTTGATATTCAGTGTTTAATTTTTTTCTTAAACAAATGTTTTTAGCTAATTTAATCTACCATTTTCAAGTTTCAACCTCTCAAACTATAAAAATTTTAGAAAATTAATTTTAAAATTATTTAAATGCAGGAACATAGTTTAAATTCTGTTTGATCACTTTTAAAAATTAATTTTCATCACATTACAAATTCAAAAACGTTATGGAATTTCTTGTTGTCAACAACAATAATCAATTATGACTTCATCTTAGAATCAACAATGCCAATTGGATATAAGTAAATAATCATTTATATAAAACCAATATCCAGCACCAGTACCCACCTCTCCCCATCTGGAAGTCCATCTATGATACTTAGTCTTACAATCCTTCCCCCCTCTCTTACATCACTCCCCCTTTAGCAAATGGACAGTAATCACCTATCCTGATTAATTCTTCTGTTTGAACCATTTGTTTTAAGCTGCATTTGAACTATGAAGGTATTTTAGCCTGACAGTGACTATTTAACACAGATAAAAATGTTTGCTTTTGTAGTTTGCTAGATATTGGTTTTATGTGTAATGATTATCTTAGAATTGAAGTTGGGAAGCTCAACATTGGCTCATTCCTGGATATTCATTTCATAATGAAAGATGTTGCCTTAAGCTATGTTTAATTAAACATGATTGCTCTTTCTAGCCTTGTCAGCAACCACAATTGTTGCATATTGCAGAATGCACAGATCCTATGTGACATCTAAAAATAAACCAATCATATTAGACAGTACCGGCCCGAGGCAAGTTTCAGGATGGAGCGAGATCCTATTATGGTGCCCCCTTGGTTGCCCCTAATTTATACCCTTTAATTTTCTCTACCACTGAGACGCCCCCTAGGACTTAGCGCGTGGAGCGGCTGCTCCGTTCTCCCTATGGTAGCGCCGGCTCTGATGTTAGAGCAATGATGCCATAATTTATATATTTAACAATTCTCATTGAGTAGTGCTTACAACAAACATGAAGAAACAAACTAGTTTGTTGTCAGTTGCAATTGCACTCATGCATAGTTTAATTAAAGGAGGATTTACCAAATAACAGGAACAGCAAGCTAATTGTGGTTGCCAGCATGATTAGAAAAACAACTTTGTAAACATTGGTTGGATCCAGTTCTTTAAGCTAATTTTTGACTTTTCTACATTCCATTCATATCCAAAAATCTTATCTCATATAAAGCTTTCATCTTTTAGGGCTGTCTACGAGGAGTTGGAAAGAATAAAATCTATTGCTACTGATTATGGCTTTTCTCTTTAAATAGTTATGGTTCATATTAACATACAAGACTACATGAAAGGAAAAACTCTCTTTGCAATTTTCACAAACCAAATGGTTTTAAAATAATAAATTTTAATTAAAAAAAAAAAGGAAAAAATATACAAGAGAATAGTGAAAGCAGAACTACAGCCTCACATTCAAACATAACCATCTTTAGGCTGCTAGAGAATAATGAGAATGAGACTGATTATCCAAAGCATTGGGATGTACTGTATTCTCATGAAAAACAGATATTTTTCAAAATGAATAGTATATGTAGGCCATACTTCCTGTTCACTAAACATGAAAAATGAAGAATATTGGTATGATTCCAGAAAAGGTATCTGATTTCCCTTTCAGCATTTGCTGGTCAGCCAGATAATTCAACTAAGTATTCAGAACTGTTATATCAATCAGTAGCCTCCACACATTTGATACATACTTAGCATCTGTGACTTATACAACTGTCTTTTACAGTTGCATAAGTCATAGATGCTAAGTATGTATCGAATGTGTGGACGCTACTGATTCACTAAATTTTTTTACCTATACTTAAATTATGTAAAATATGATGAATGTGTTTAAAAATATTTATGTAAGTGGAATTTATGCCATGTTCCAACATTCAAATTATTTTTAAACTGATGTTTTAGAATTTTGTAGTATGATGTTGAAACCTGATGATGACTAAATTTTTTAGAATTATTCTATATAAATCAACTTGTAAAGATATGTTTAGTGTATATAGATTGTATATTTAACTTGTAAATGTTAAAATAGCAAAACAAATCTTTGATTTTATTTAAAATATTTATATGAATTTTAAGAATTGATTTTATAACACATGCATTTTTACTCTCTTTTTAGAAACTTGTTCATGGGCTATAACTCAGTTATTCACAGGACACATGTCAACAGTTGGATAGCAGTGGTAAAAAAAATACATTCAGAAGAAATCTTAAGTAAGATTTTTGAAAAACTAATAATAGCTATTAATAATATTGTTTGAAATAATTAATTATGCTATATTAAGTATAACTATATTGCTTGCTTTATATCTAATGACATTTGCTTTTAAACAACAGTCTGACAAATATTCATGAATTCAGAGAAAGATTTGAATTGGTAATCTGATAGGAACTGATAGTAAACAAGAAAGAATGTCAGAACAAATTATAACAATATCATTTAGTAATTGCTTAATATAAATTATTACATTGAAATATTAATAACATATTTGTGTTAGTGTTTGTTCTGGTTTTATTAGTAATAAAAATTTAATACTTTAAAAAGTTTAACTCATTTAACTTTTTACATAAAGAAAAAAAATAGCAATGCTAACTTCAAAACTGATGTAGACTTTACTAGCTTAATTAAAAATAATAATTGTATATATCTATAGTCAGAGAATTTCATGAATAGCTTTCTGGAATAAGCATATTAATTTTTTCTTATTGATGTAATGATTTCAATATTTTAAAATTAACTTTTAGAATTATTTGACAACTAAATTAAAGTGTTATTATTGATTGATTGAAGTCAAAATATTTTAACCAGGAATAATTTTAATCCTGTGACTACAATTGATTTTTTTTATCAATGTGTATTGAAAATAGTACAGCCAGATTCTGTTATCCTAATTAATGCAATTTAGATATTAGATGTTTTCTATTATTTCTTATGGAAAAAAATTCTAATTCATTCCCAATCCATTCAAATAATCCGAGTTTCCCCAAATAATACTAAAATATTTATTTATCCATCAATCCATCATTTGAATGCAATATTAAACATTACAAACTCCAATCATCTTACTGACATCATTACAGGATAAGTTAGTGAGCAGTAACACAATGAACAATTCTGTTTAATACCCACTATTATGAATTTTGTATGAACCACATGTTTTTTAATATGCTGCAACAGCAATGAAATTGTTCATTTTATATTAAAATATTACTGTATGAAACAACAATGAAGTAAAATAAGCAAAACTTACTATAATAAACTGTAAGCTTATAGGAATAATATGCTCATAAGATTGCATCAAAATTAATAATATGAAAACTGTTGTCTGTGCGTGTTTGTGTGTGAATTCCTTATAACTCCTGCAATTTTTGTCCAATTCAGATGAAATTTTGGTTATATTTGTTTTATGTACTGATGGAAATTATAGGCTACTTATTTTGCAAAAATATTAACTGTAGAATAAATGTTTTATTGGTTTCAGATTGGTGATTGTGCTTATGTTTCAGTGATGTCAGCGACATCATTTAGTTCATGCTTGACAATGGAATTTCCCTTAAGTTTCATTTTTAAATATTTTGGCAAATGGCATATTTTAAACTTGCTTTATTAAATTTAAACCTAAAAAAAGATAGCTGCATCAGGTTACTTCTTAACAAATTAAAAAAAATTCATAGTGACCACGTGACGTTCTATTATCCAGTAGGGAGTAACAATCTAATGAACCCATTAGCTTCAATCTCTACTTTCTTGTAAAAAGTATTCCATCATTCTTGACAGGAGAATTTCTAGTTTTATGTTAAAATGACTATTTGTGCAGTTTAGTCATTTTTATCACAAAACAAACATAACAGTAATGAAACAAATGAAAATATTCTGGGAATGGTGTAATTTCCTACTCCTACTTATAATAGTGTAACTTTTGAACTGTTGAAGAAATTCTTAATACAGAGATTATTTGGTTTAGATGTTGCAGTTGGTACTAAAGAATATCATTTAACATAGTGGGAATTCAGATACTGCAGTTTGACTATATATAAGTTTAATTTCCTCTGTATAAATAATATAATTCTTTTCTCAAAAGTCATCATTAAAAAAAATTATTTCTTTTGTATCAATTCTTAATTTTTCATCATATTAACATGGTTAAAATATATTTGTTTTAAGAAAGAGGAATGTCAAACAAAATTGGAATAAGCTTGTTGTATATGCTAGTTGAATGCATATTTGTCTATATATATATATATACAGTAGAACCTCCATTATCCGGATTTTCGATTATCCGGATTTTTCCTTATCCGGACTACCTTCATCCCCAATTAGTCCGGATAATAGAGGTTCTACTGTATATATGAATATAATTTTAAAATTAAAGAAAAATTATTTTAGAACAGTAATAATTCATGCTGTTTCCTAAATAAATAATGAGAAGATATTTTGTAAAGTTTTAGATTTAAAAAAATTTTTTATTAAATGTTTGCATTTACAAACATTATAGAAATATACAATATAAAAATAAAGAAGCTGACAAGGGCTCTTGCTCAACTTTTCCAATACCTGAACAGAATATTAGAGAGATATTTAAGTTTAAAAAATACTACAACACTACTTAAAATTGTGTGTAGTGCCATCTGTTATGAGATATTAATTACTGTATTATAGAAAGGCTTAATTTTGTAGATAGAGAAGAGTTTTTAAAAATAATGTAAATGCCAATAATAAGTAAAATTTTCATTAAGTCCTATCCTACTCAAGATATGACAAGTGACTTCTTTATCTCGCCACCCCTTGACCTTTAACTACCAGAATTTAATAACATTAATGTCTCATATGTAGAAGTAATCTTGACAAGTTTCCAAACTTTTATTCATTTAGTTCTGAGATATAATACAAAATAGATGCCTACATACCTACACACAAACACAATATATTTTGTAAGGGTTTTTTTTTACATTTTTGGGCTTCTTGAGTGTCAAAATTTGACTGATTGCTATACTTTCCTTGTTATATTCTCTAACAGCTGGGAAAGTAAAGCTGTTAAAATGACTTAATACATCAGTTAAAATTAATATAACAAAATTCATGGCATTAAATATTAAAAAAAAACTAAAATAAGTCAAATACATATCTGATATTGATATATTTGGAATATAATCTTGCAAATATTCAAATCATGATGAATACAAGTGCAATAAATCTGCTTATGTATTATATATTATACCAAAATTAAAATATAAGTGGATTTTATTTAAATTCAAACCCATTAGGGATACAAATATTTTTAAACAAATCGTCATGAAGAATTTAAAAAATGTAGTAATAGAGGCATTAAATTTTTTATCTATAAACTATTAATAATTCTTTTAATGTTATCAAATAATCAAAAATAAAAATAAGTATTTATATTGAAAAGAAGAAAAGAATTTAAAGAATTTATGGATTCTACTGACAACCTAGAATATATGCTTTTTTATTATTAAGCTGAGATTTAAGATATTCAAATTTGATATAATTAGATTATCCAGTGTAAGAAATTGATATAAAATTTGTATTTTCACTAATTCAATTTTTAGACTTGGTTTTAAATATTATCTATAGATTTTATTCCTGTAGTAATATTATATAAAATTCTGTATATAATTATAATTTTTTTCATGAATGAAAACTAAAAAGTTTTAGAGATAAGATAATGCCCAATAAACTAAAGTTTGATTTTCTAATTTTCTGTATTTGTAGTATTTTTAAATAATTCAGAAAACAAACTTATACTGTTTATTAGCTACCTAATTATTTGTATTTCAGTTTTAAAATTTATAGTAAATATATATAATGTTGTTAATCTTTCTTCTATTAGTAATATCTGGATAATTCACTATTTACTTGAAAAAATTTCTGAAATTTAATATATTTCAGATTATGTATAGTACATAAATTCACATGAATTCTCACTTTTAATTTTGTCTATTTAGTTTCTCCCAAATATACTTTATAATAGTTTTATAACTAAAAATTTTATTCTTATAAATTATTATATAAAAATTTTTGTGTTGTAGAATGTAGCAAGTCCTGATGTAACATTGTTGGTATCTTCTTGGAAATTGTTCTTGTGAACTATATTAGTTCACTTAATATCAGTTAAGTGAACTAATATAACAAAACCAATTCTACTATAGGTTAAATCATATAAACAAAATATAATTCAGTTAATGGTAATATTCTAATTGGATCATGTTTGCAACCTCCAGCATTTATTTTCCAACTTATAGAATCAATTTTACTATTTATAAAGAAAATTCAACAACAATAATTGTAAATAAATAATTACGGATGTATTTGTATCTTAACTCAACAACATTATAACAGAACAGTACTATGTGGGGACTTGCTTTTCTTTGTATTTTTTCTCAATCATTTTTTTATCAATTTTTCTCAATTTTTATGCAAAGTAGCATTTTTAACATTGAAAATTATAAAATCAAAATGTCAGTCAACTCTGAAAAACATTGAAGATATCCTGCATCCTGCAGTATCAAATATTCAGCCAAGATTTAATTTCTTCTAAAAGTCTTCTATCAAATCTGATAAAAATTCTCAATTTTTCTTGATATAGAATATTTAAACCAAATTGTTATTTCCTTTGACAGTTTTTGAAATAATTAGTTGAGCTGAAAAATAAAATTAACTTTCAAAATCATTTTTAAAATATAATTTTTTATGATATTGTATCCTATTTGTTACTAATAAAAATTTATTAAATAACTTTATTCAATTAAACTGTATTTCGGTCTATATGAACTTAGTATGGTGCATTTTGATTGGTTAAAGTTACTAAAAATTGTCTACCAATTTGTTGGTGAGAAATATCAATAGAATGCAATAGTTATCAAATTTTACTTTAAAAATGATTTTCTATGTAAATTTTCATTTTAAAATACTGCTTGTAATTCTTGTTGAATTTATTCATCCAAATACTCAAATATCAATCGATTGAATACTGAAGTTATTATTGTAATTTGTTTTCTCTTATTCTACACTTAATCTTAAAATCCAGATCTGCAGTTTTCTGTAAGTTATTGTTTTGTATTTCTAATTTTAATATTTAATAAAATATAATTAATAATAATTAATTTCTATATAACAGGGCTTCATATCCTGCATCCTGCAGTATCAAATATTCAGCCAAGATTTAATTCTTTATGCAAAAATAAACAAACAT